GATGGTTTGTTTATAGTACCGAAGATATTTGGATACACCAGTGATGGGTAAAGTAAAAAATAATAATACTCGAATTAATGCGTTGTTTTTATCTACCGTTGAAGGAAACACATTTGATTTGCAGTCATTTCGGAAATTGAATTCGATAGGAATTGAAATGAAAACAAAACATTTTCGGAAACTGATTTGGATACTATTAAGCATTTTAACGACAATTTAAAATTTAATAACGGCAGGTACGAAACAAAACTCTTTTGGAAGGACAATAAATCACAACTCGCTGATAATTTTTTCGTTGCTAAACAACGATTTCTAGGACTAAAGCATAAATTAAAGGGAAATGATTTTCCTATATAATGAATATGATAATAATTAGAGAACAAGTTGAAAGGGGATTGTTGAACAATGTAAGTTTGTTGAAAATGAACCTAACTGTTATTATATGCCTCATAGGCCCGTTATACGTGAAGAAAAGTAACAACAAGAATAAGAATAGTTTATGATGCCTCTTCTCTAAGTCTGAAGGAGCTAAATCGTTAAATGAATGTTTGATATCAGGCCCTAATTTAAATCCTAACCTGTTGGATATAATTTTAAAATTTCGCATACATAAAGTTGCATTTTGTGCAGACATAGAGAAGGCTTTTCACCAAATTCAAATTGATAGTGAAGATAGAAATTTTTTAAGGTTATTGTGGTGTGATCATTCTTACGATGATAGTGACAATAGTTTAGGCTTTAAGTACCCTTTAAGGTTATGTTTAAGGTTTTCCGAATGTGCCGAGTGCCGTTTGGAATGACAACAAGTACGTTTATTTTGTCCGCCACTATCAAGCATCATATTAAGTGTTACGAAAAGAAATATAGCAAAGCTGTTGACATGTTAAATAAGTCCTTATATGTTGATGACCTTATCCATGGAGCAGACTCCATTGAAGAAGTTTTCTTATTATCAACTGATGCAGTTAAAATTCTTCAAGACGCTGGTATGAACTTAAGAAAATTTGAATCAAATTCCGTATCTTTAAAAAATCATTGGCAAGATATTGGTTTAATTAATAAGGAAGATAATTTGGATAAGAAAACGTTAAAGGTGCTGGGAATAATTTGGGATTTGGATGAGGACACATTGAAATTAGATGTACAAGAACTTTTACAACCAGTTGACTGGAAACACGTTACGAAAGCGAAAGGTATTACAGATTGTGGCAAAAATTTATGACCCAGTTGGATTCATTGCACCCTTTGTTATCAGAATAAAATTCTTATTACAAGAGTTATGGGAATTGGGTATTGATTGGGACACAATTTTGCCCAGTTATTTGAGTGAAAAATTTAAAACTTGGTACTTTGAAATTGAAGTTATTCTCAACTTGTGTATTCCTAGAAAATACATATTAAATGATGAATGTGTAAATTTCGATAAAATAGAGCTTTTTGTCTTTTGTGACGCCAGCCTCAAGGGATATGGAGCTGTTGCATATTTTCGTGATCCTGATTCTTGCACCTGTACGTCTTTTGTTCTTTCAAAGAGCCGTGTATCCCACTTAAAAAATTACCTTGCCTCGTTTAGAACTTATGGGAGCCATTATTGCCGCAAGAATAGTTAAATATTTAAGGAAATTATTTAATATCCAAGAAGATAATGTATTTTGTTTTAGTGACTCTAAAATTGTTCTTCACTGGATCAGGGGTACCGCTGATAAATGGAAACCCTTTGTTGCTAATCGTGTACGTGAAATACAAGATGTTGTATCACCTTCGCAATGGAAATACTGTAAGGGAAATGACAAAATCCGGCTGACATAGTTTCACGTGGATTAAGAGCTTCTGATCTAGTGGGAAATAAACTTTGGTTCAATGGACCAGTGTGGTTAAAAGAGAAAAATTACCTTCATCATCTTTTGATCCTTTGATCGAGCCTATGGTAGAAGAGGTACAGGTAGAACAGCGTCAAACTACTGTATGTTCTGTTATTAGCCAAGAGGCTGAATTTGAATTGACATCCAGGTTTTCATCCTGGAAAAAATTGAAACGCGTAACTGCATGGTGTTTAAGATTCTGCCAACAATATTAAACCTACATCTTTAAAACTCAAGGGTTTTTTAACAGTTCAAGAGAACTTGGATAAGGCAAGCAATTTGATTTTCAAAATCATACAAAATTCCGAATTTAGAGAAGAAATTAGACTTTTGAAAGCAGGGAAGAAATTGAATCTCAGCAGTAAAATCCTGAAATTAAATCCTTTTCTTGATAGAGAAGAAATCCTTAGAGTCGGTGGTAGACTCTGTAACTCGAATCTTTCAGAAAACACAAAGTATCCAATCATTCTTCCCAAAAGTCACCAAGTTACTGAATTGATAGTCAAACACTTTCACGAAGTGAACCTTCACGGAGGAGCCACATTAACATTATCTGCTCTGCGACAGAAATATTGGATCGTTAATGGCCGAGAAATTGTAAGAAAAAAATAATTTGGAAATGTATAAAAAATGTTTTAAAAATCGAACAAGCACATCCAGTCAGATAATGGGCGACCTACCTGCTTCTCGCGTATTGCCGGATAGAACATTCTCGAATACAGGACTAGGATTTTGCAGGCCCCTTTTTAATTAAAGCTAGGAAAGGAAGAGGGGAACGAGATATAAATGTTATGTTTGCCTTTACATATGTTTCACCACAAAGGCCATTCACCTAGAAGTAGTCAGTGATCTAACAACTGAAGCATTCCTAGCATCTCTGAAAAGATTTGTGTCACGCAGAGGAAAACCCAAGAAAATCTTTTCCGATAGAGGAACCAACTTTGTTGGGGCTGATCGAGAATTAAGAAGATACATAGCTACACTTTCCTTCTGAGAAGCATTTCAAAACTACCTTGAGCGGTGAAAATATTCAATGGATCTTCAATCCCTCCTGCTGCCCCTCACTTTGGAGGCCTCTGGGAGGCTGGTGTGAGTGAAACAAATGAAGATTCACTTAAAGCGAACTATTGGGACACCAGGTTCTGAACATACGAAGAATTTCACACCTACACCTTAATTACACAAATCGAGGCGTGTTTGAATTCTAGGCCAATAGTTTCCATCTCATCTGACCCTGAAGATTTTAATCCTTTAACACCTGGACATTTCCTAATTGGGACTACATTAACAGCAATTCCTGAACCTGATCTTACAAATAATAAGCTAACCCCTGCTGAAAGATGGAAATTGACACAGCAAATTTTCCAGAGCTTTTGGAAACGTTGGTCTAGAGATTATCTTTCACAATTACAAGGGCGTACCAAATGGTTGAGGGATAAACCAAATTTAGCTCTCAATGACTTAGTCTTGATAAAGGACGAAAATTTGCCTCCATTAAAGTGGCGACTTGGACGAGTAATTAAACTATATCCTGGTGCTGATGGAAAAGTTCGTGTTGTGAAACTAAAAACTTTATTGGGCAAAATGACGCGTCCTATATATAAACATTCCCGCTTACCATTGAGTGAATAAGACTCTAAAAAAACCATTAATTGCATATTCATAATTTGTTTTCATAATCAGTTTTATAATTTCCGAGGAAAAAGAGTCCTTCATTCTGTTCTCACGTACAGATGTTACTCAAAAACATTGTTAAATTCCATTCGATAGCTGTCGAAATGGATATTTTCGTTGAAATATGATAACTGAAATTTTTCGCGATTACAATATTTCTTTTTTACTTCGTACAAAGGGTGTAAAAAGTCCGTTTTTATTCCATTCATTTAAATACGCCTAAAAATCATTTATTAAGAAAAGGTTTTTCCATTTCTTTTCAGAAAAATATTTCTCGTAAAGAATTTTGCAACGCGTTCTGCGCTCGGAGATATGTCGTTGAGAAAGAGGATGCACAAACATTTCGTTTTTTCATTTGATATGTATTTGGAACAATTCTTCCACTTGGAGCCACAATTTGACTTTTTTCCCCCTTTCTTGTTGACAATATTGCCTTTCGTAGCCTTAGATGTCGAAAAACCATGTCTTTCACTGCATTTTTACTTCTTTGTACGATGTAAAGGAAGTATTCTAATCACGAAAAATTTCGGGTATCGTATTTCAACGAAAATATCCATTTTGAGAGCTCTTTCTATTTAAGCAATGTTTTTTCATTATAAGCTTTTTTTTTTTTTTTTCATTATAAGCGATGCGTTTAAGCTATGTTTTTGCATCTGAGTTCTATTTAAGCGATGTTTTTGCATTTTGTACGTACAGATAGAATAAAGTACTCTTTTTCCCAAAACCGGATTATGAAATGGATTTAAAATGGATTAGAAAATTTGTTATCGTGACTTCTGTACGTACTTATGAATGTACCTTGCATAACTCAAAAGCGAGTAGCCTCAGAACGTTGAAATTTTGTATACAGGACTTGTATAACATGTGGATGTGCAGATGTATTAATATATTACCAGAGCAGAACCTAGAAATATTTTTCGCCATTAGTACATAAAATTAGATTGTTATATTCTTATAACATTTTTCTGGCTGGATCGTATTGAAGTAAAATTTAAGGCTATGTAAATGGAATTTCTTTCGCCCTTGTTTCAACCGTAAGCTGAAATCTTGCAAATTCAGTGCCGTATAAATCAAAGGTTATCTACATTTTCCTAACAGTGAGAACCATCCAGACTTAATCTATCTTCTAAAGTTAACTCAATTGCCAATTACAATTCAATCAGATTAACAATCTACTTCCTCAATGTCTGAGTGCTTGAAATTTTATTTATATTATTACTACCATAATATTATAATTATGACATTATTATACTTTCTTTATTCGGAATAATTATTATTTTTGCAGAAAAATCCAAGGACACTGAGATCGAGAATAGGATTCTCACGAGATATAGCGTGATATGTGAATTAGTGATTTATGAAAGAAATAAAAAATAAATAAACAATCGAAAGATGAGCCTGGTCATGTGACTGAGAACTAATAAAGTGTGGTAAAATTTATTCGCATTTTTCGTTTGTTTCGTTCGCTGGTTCAAACAGCTGAAAGTTGCAATTTTGTTACGGCGTTTATGTCATTCTTTCGTTTTGCTGAATGCAAATTCCACAAAATGGTTCTTTTGCCTCTCTGCGCGGAAGGTTTAACTCCAGAAATGGATATAATATTAAAGAAAGAGCTTGGTGAGACACCTCTTGTGAGAAAGAATTCCCTAGAAAGAATAAAACAGCTCATAGCGGGTAAGTTTCTAAATGCTGTTGCATGCATCCGAAATTATAATGCTAAGATACGCGCGTGTCTGTAGAAAATTAATGTATTTATGTTTTAGCGTGTAAAATATTCTCCTGTATTTCAGCCAGTAATGTTTATATATTCAGTCGCCAAGCTAATTTGATAATTTCTATGATAACGATTACGATAACGCTTATGAAAACGATCAGCGGTTCTCAACCTTTTGACTAACGCCTACCAACTAAACAAAAATTGAAAATCCTTAGTATCACCATTACATTTTACAATGATTATTTTTCAATTTCTCAATAAAAATATTTAAGAAATGTTTTTCCGTTTACATAACCTATTGGCTATTCGTATTAAATATGCACACATAAAAAATAGCCTGAAAATTGGTTACCATTTTAATTATCAAAATTTAAGTTTTAATACACTTAAATTTTATTTTATTTTATTTTATTTATTTTTATTTTAGAATTAATATTTAATTAATTCTAAAATTTAGTGTGAAATTTGGGGCTGTTTAAGAGAGATCAATTTCTATAAATTCCAATTTCTATAAATTTCTAAAATTCCAATTTCTATAATGTTTATAATTATTTCACTTCTTTTTAACCGTAAATTAAGATCCACTTTTAATTTTCTTCTGTATTTTTCAAATATAACATGGAAGAAAATCCTTGTTCACACAAATAGATTCTGCAAAAACGTGATAAAAATATAATAGCTTTATTTGAAATGCCTTTAAATTATTTTTTTCGGTTCAGCTAAACGTTAACAAGCGTTATTTTTTAAATCTTCAATTAGAGTTCAATCACAGGAAATTTCTATCAACTTTTTTTTTTCCCAAAAAATTTTTGAATTTAATAGTTAAAAATACTTTGTTTCTTTGCATACCACCTATTTTACTCTTGCGTACCACCGGTTGAGAATCGTTGCCTTAGATAAAACTCCTATTAATTTACGTTCACGTAAAACTAGAAAGATGAAGATTAAAACTGATTCGTAGAGACCGAAAACCGGTCATTTCCAATACTCATTTGGTAAATTCTTTTTTATTTCTCTATTGAGATCTTGCTATGATAAAACATTTTTGTTTTCCTCCGTTGAAATATTTTATGAAATGTTATGTATATTTCTCTCCTATCCCGTTTGGCTAAAAGTATCAGTTAGACAATTTGATAGAATTTTTCTGAAACTTCCAACACTTTTATATTTTCATTTAACCAGTTGGTTTTTTTCAATAGGGTTAAAACTTTGCCACCTATTTTTAAACTGTTCCCTATTTAGCTATCAAACTGAAATTTTTCACTGACACTCATTGAGAAGAACAACAGAATGTGGGATAGAGAATTTTTTTACAATTTCACATACATTTTTAGTTCAACAGGGCGTTAGCATGAGCCATTTGTCTGGAAACAGGATTTGGCGGAGTATCATTTTGAACGCCTGAATCCCTTTTCAAATTGTTGCCACGAAATAATATCTTTACTTTCCGATTACTTTTAAAGAAATTAACTAATGAAGAATCTGCGTGAACGTATGCATGTTTCTAGCAGTGTGAAAAAACGACGGTACCTAGGACCATCAAATTTTAAATAAAGTAGTCCTACACTCGAGCATAAGCACCTGGAAGCCCGAATTTTGAGTTTCGAATTTTATATTCCATATTTTGTAAAACTTTCATGAGTTTCTGCTTAACAAACTCAAGGATTTGAAGACGAGCAGTGGCAACAGTGTATTGATTAAAATATTTTTATCTCCAGCGAGTGAGATATCTATCGAAAATTATAAAGATACGCTGTATTTAAATATTTTGTGATATTGCACTTTAATCGAATGTTATGCCGCCTAAGCGCCAACAACATGATATTTAATAAATAAATACACAAAACGTTAATAACAAAAAAAGTAAAAAAAAAGTTTTGTTAATCCATCTTAATAAGAAAACTGAACATTGATATAATGAACTCGCGGGGGGGGGAAGAATGCATGCCAACACTGAATGCTGTCTTGGGAATTCTAAACGTATAGTGCTATACTGCTTTGAAAATTTTTGTAACTTTGCTGTTGAACTATAAATGACGTAAGTACGAATAAAATGATGCTTAATAATAAAGCTAAAAAGCCAAAAAGAAGTGGGTTAGCAGGGGTGAGTGCAACAACAAACTGGTAGACTGCAAGCTGAGCGAGAGCGTAGAAAAGTCTTAATCAACAGCTTTTGGGCGACAGGTTAAAATCTCAGCCCTTTCAGATTTTTCTTTCTTTTTAGCACAAAGGTACAATTTGCCCAGGACTATTAATTTCTTTTTGGCATTTTGCGTTGATTCACTATAATCGTTGTTTCACTTTTCAAATTGTTGCCACCAAATATTATCGCCCTATATTATATTTATAGAAATTAAATAATGAAGAATCTGCATAAATGTATGTATATTTCTCGTACTGTGATGAAACAACGGTACGTAGAGCCATCCAATTTTGAATAACGTAATCTTCCTGCGAATATGGGCATCTGTAAGCCCAAATTTGGAATTTATTTTATTATCGATTTCATACTTTGTAAAACTTTAACGAATTTTTGATTTACAAACTCAGCGATCTAAAAGCGAAAAATGGCAACATTGTACCCGAGAGAGGAAAAAAAAAAAAAAAAAAAAAAACTTCCAGCGCGCGAGACGGTGTATCGGAAATTCTAAAGGATATGCTCATTTTAAAACTATTTTGCGATATTGCTCGTGAACTGAATTTTGTGGTTTAAGTGCGAAGAACATGATATTTAATAAATAAAGGTTAAAAAACGTCCCTTTGGGCGTAATGTAAAATCTGGAATTCATATTTTATTTAAATCCACTTATTATTGTATTTATCTTTTGCATCTTATATTTAATAATTTTCATTCGTTTTTGATTAGGATTTTTTGCTCAAAATATTGTTGTAAATGTTAAATAAGCATTAATCTGTAATCCCTATTCAATTAATCCATTTTGCGTTAAGTACTGTGGGAAAATTTTTTTCGATTTACTAATATTTCATTTGACGAATGACTTTGAAATTCGAATCAAATTCGTGAACTGAGGTTTCAGTGTATTGCATTTCTGCTTTTCAGAGGAACCAGATTTCTATCCTTTTATGGATGACCAATTCATATTGCTGTTTCTCCGAAACAAGAAGCATAACGTGGAAAGGGCTTTCAAGACACTACGAAATTATTATTTTTTCAAGAAGAAATACTCCCGAGTATTTACTGATTTTCTACCTTCGGAGCATGAAAAAGTCATAAACATGAACTGTTACTCACCCATGCCTTTCAGAGACTCGAATGGCAGATTCATAGTCGTCTGTCAACCAGGTAAGAAATTCATTAGCGACTTGTAAATATGATAAAATGCCTTTCATACGCAGAAATACAGTGGCTGTTCGCACATTCTTTAAACAATTTTGCTTTGCTGGAAGAAAATTCGTCTGCTTGGAAATTTGATTTTTAATTGCAGCTACATTTTTAAACGTAATAATTATCGTCTGCTACTTGATAATTTTTAGCGAAATGGTTCTTTTAAAGAAGCAATGGATGGCCATGTTTGTACTCTTTCAGAAAAAAATTTTCGTGTCTAATTACTAAAAAATGTTGTGAAACCATGGTTTTTCGATATTTAAACTATGATAAGTAATATTGTAAACAAGAACGGAAATAACATTAAACTTTGGCTTCAAGCAAAAAAATTGGTCCAAACAGAATGTTTCGAATGTTGCAAGGTAAGATCTTTAATAATAAAAGAAAATCTGTCAAGTCAAAGGACAGTTGCAAAATCAATAAAATACACAGTCTAACACTGTAAACTAAGTGATTAAAGCTGGTTGATTCTTTAAAAGTCGAAAATACATAATGTACGTCGTCTTTCACCACGACATATCGCCGAACGCAGAACGCGCTGCTTAATTCTTTAGGAGAAACATTTATCCGGGCAAAATTGAAAAGTCTTGTCACAACAGATGAATCTTACGTGTATTTAAATGGCTGCAATAAACACGGATTATTTTATTATTATTATCGAAGAGCAGAAAAAAAGTCTTAAAACATGGTTCAAATAATCTAAAGAAATGTTTTCAAAGCGATTTATGATTGTTGCTGGTTTTCAATATAAAGGCAAATTAAAATTAAATTGGAGAATGTTAAAAATAAAAATAATGGAGAAATATGTTAAGATGAACTCCACATATTATCAGGAATATTTATTTCCAATTTTCAAATACGAAATACCTTCTCTTTACCCGCAGTGCCATCAATCAGTAGAATTGCATCAAGGCAAAGCAAGCAGCCATAAGTTAAAATCTAATGGGAATTTTCAGGATAAAATAGAACAAGAAACGTGTTTCAAGGTCGTACCCTTCAGTATTATCCCTAATACATCCCCAGATGCATCAGCCATGGCTTTTTGCGCTTTTGGACTTGTAAAATGCGGAGTGCCCAAACGTCGACTTACAGCCTTTCTTGGACTTTGGAAGGCTGTTCAAGATGAATGGGATAAAAAACGTCTTCTGATACAGCAAAAGGCTCTACTGTATTGGAAATTACGGTATAGAAAGATAGTGAAGAATAAGTGTTATCAAACAGAACATTTAAAACAAAAAATTTGGGTAAAATAATTTGGTAAATACAAAAAAGTTGTCTAGAAATGTGCAAACAGCCTTTGTATTGTGTCATCCGAAACGTTCTGCGATTTTTCTATAAGGTAAGGGTCTAGTACGGGGGGGGGAAAGGGGCTGACTCAAAACATCTGTCACACTCAATAAGTTTTTATCTAGTATTCAGCGAAACGTCACGCCGAGTTTTGTCATGATGAAAGAGAATACCTGGAAAATTTGTCAGTACTAAGCTCTTTGCTTCTGCTTTAAAACTGCCATTTGGGAAGATAACTTTTCCGAATTTAATATTTTATTTGGTGGTTGCAATTCATAATACACAGTTCCTATGTTGTCCAACAATACACAAAGTATTAATTGGCGCATACGGGCCCTTCGCTTTTACGGAGTTCTCTGGAAGGAAGATAAAGGAATTCTGGTAAAGGAGGTTTTCTGACTTATACTATGATCGCTTTTTTTTTGTGCTATTATTGCAGAGTATCCTCTTCTTATCTCTAGTAATGAGCAGTTTCAAAAAGGAGTTTCTTTTAATTTTCTTCAACAAGAAATCACATACCAAAACTCCAGCAAGTATATTCTGCTCAGTTAAAGTATGAATTATTCATACATCGTAGCAGCTGTTTTATCCAATCTTCTTTTAATGATCATGGACTGTACATTTTGGAATATTTATTTATTCTGTCTGATACTTTCTGAAGTGTTTGACTTGGATTTTCAGCGATTTCTTCTTTCCTTGTTTACAGAGAATGCTCGTCCAAAGTAGGTATCATGTTCGAGGCTGGTATTTCCACGCTTAAACTTCTCACATCGCTTTCGAACTTTGTTATCACAAACAGCAGTTTTTCCAAATGCAGCACAAATTTATGAGCAGTCACTCTGACTAGCAATTTTTTTCCTGTTCCTTTACTTCCTTGTACGAAGTAAAGGAAGTATTGTAATCGTGAAAAATTTCTGATATTATAGTCCAACGAAAATATCCATTTTGACCGCTCTCGAATCCATCTGAATGATGTTTTTCCGTGACATTTGTACGTGCGGTCAGAATAAACGACTTCTCTTTCCAAAACGAATAGTAAAATGAATTCAGAAGAGATTTTTTTTCGTGACATCTGTACGTACGAACCTATGTAATGTATGGATTGCGGATAACTCGAAAACGAGTAGCTTCAGAACATTGAAATTTTTCATGTGGGACTTATCTATAAGATGTAGTTGTTCATCTTCCTTTTAGGTTGAAAATACATGTATGTACCCAATAAGTTACCCGTCTAGGTATTATATATTGGTAAATTGTGCATTTTTTGCTTTAAAAGTTATTGAATTATGTTGTTCTTATGTTCCGGTTAAGGTTTTTATATTTTTAGTTAATTTATGTGCAATAGTCGGAGAATTCTCCCAACAGTTTAAAAGTTGTTTCAGTGGCACCAAATCTAATGAGGCCGCTATTTGTTTACATTTGAAATTTTAAGTAGAACAACAAGTTAAGTCAGTTGGTGTACCAACTTCAGTGTATTTTTGACAGTCGGACCCAAAATAAACTTTCAATTTTGTCCATCGAAAATTTGGCCTTCCTGCTCGTTGCTCGCATTGCTTGTTTTCCCGTCGAAACTCTAATTTTAATTGCAAGCTTTTTTCTAACTGTTTTTAGTTGTATTCGGTGTTTTAAGTTTTTCTATATTTCACAATTTTTAATGAAGATGTTTTGAGATTTACGTATTTTTGCCTTGCCTCTAAATGAGAACTCAATGGATTGGATGAGAAACGTATCCCTAATGAAATTCGAGGAAATAAGTTTAACTGATGTGCAGTAAAAATTTTACATATAACTTAATAGTCTGCACAAGGAAGTCACGTGATGTCAACATCAGCTATTTTTTTTTAATTAAAAGAGCATAATATAAGGGAAATGGCCTTTTTGGGTTCCCTGTTCTTAGGACTGCTTTGAAACAAAATTCGTACTACAAAATGTGCTAGACTTATTCAAAAACGTGAGCGTGAGACCATATTCAAACATTCGCTTTAATGAAGGACACTCCGTATTAGGGGTAATAAAATATTTAGAAAAAAAACACGGCTTCGATGTGAAAAACCATAGAACTTTTGGGATGACTCCGCACATTAACATTAGGTGAATTTTTTCTAAGTGTGAGTTCGAATGTTTCAGGTCGGTACAAATGGCAAGAAAACTCAGTCGATGCTTTTATGGCCTTTGCTGTGGACCTGGGAATCTTGCTTAATAAACCAGAAGCCTTTTCTATATGCGGAGCTGTGCTTATCTTCGACCTTAAGGACTTTTCTATGGAAAATTTATTTAAATTTGTCAGCATGAAATTTTTAATCTTCGCCTTTAGCTGTTTGCAGGTGAGTAGAAATAAAAATTCAAAAATTGATTTATCGTATCAAGTAGATTATGCAATGGTTGCATCTATTGACAACCTACATCCCATCACTGGTATTGCTCTAATCCATGTGTCATTTTCTCGGTTTTAGAATAAGTTACCAAACACGAAATTGGTTGTTTTAATAGGGGATTGTCCAAAATGTCATATAATTCTAAATTACATGTCAAAAATCGAATAAATGAACACAACAGAATGTTGAAAATACTTAAGTTAAAGGAATGAGTTTAAGTTGCATAAATTTAGAGCACTAGTTTAGAAGCTTTGTTAGATCATTCTTCTTTAGCTACATGAGTGAAAATAGTGAAAGAGAAGCATGTGCTTACGTAATAATAACAGACCGAAAATTCAAGAAAGTTCCAGCAAAAGAAAGGAACAAAGCTGCTGGCAACAACTACTGGACGCAAAGTAACTGGAACTCTCTCGAATTTTTTGCCTATTGTTGTCGCGTGAGCAATAGACTAAAAATGCTTCTCTCTCGTCATTTTCACTCCTGTAACTGAAAAGGAAGGTTCTATTAATTTTAAAAAACGTTTTAAAGTTTCAAGACATCCTAGACATGGATCCATCGAAGCGAGGAACAGAAATGGCAAACTTCATAATAACCTGACGGTAGCCTAAACCAGAGTCTTCAAGTATTCTACCTTTGCAAGAATGACTAAGTTCGTGGGTTACTAAAAGTAAATCCGGTGTCATTTTTGAACTGTTATAATATAAATAAAAGTGAAGGTCCTTATTATTATCTACTAAATCAAAGCGTATGAAATTAAGTAATTCTTCAACTGCCTCACTAGCATGGTTCCTATTACTATATATCCAATAAAGAGGAATGTGCACTGAAATCCCCATGAGGACAGATCTACTTGAGACATTAAGGAAAGAAAAATCTGGTTTACTTCCCGAAAAAGAGTAAATTAAAAAAAATTCAAATGCTTATCAAATTTTCAGATATTAAGAAGGACGATGTCACTTTTGTCTTGACAAATTTTGTCTTTAATAATTTTAAGGACTGCTGCAAGACATGATTTAACTCCAATCAGAAGGCAATTTCAATCAGAAGGCCGCTGGCAATTTGCCTAGCTTTGAGTACAATATAGATAGTGTAACACTTGACTGGGGAATATTTGGTACTTTCGGCTACAAGATTGGCCTCCGTAATTGTAAAAACTTGAATGTCGTAGTCTTAAAAAAATAAAGACGTTCCTGTCTCTTTGCTTGCAATAAGCTACCAGGATTCCACTGCAAAATCCTCATAAATTCGCACCGAGAGCTCGATTTCTTCCCAGAGCTATAGATCATTTTGCCGTACAAGACGTTGTCCGGGGGTACAGCATATGGAGGTAGATGTACTTCGTTCCCCGGTTCTATTAATCTTTGAAACTAGTTCTGCAAAGTTATGGAACTTATGTCGGCACTTGTTTCTTTAATATCTTCAGCAGTTATTTCATAGGCATGTTATTTTAGTTAATAATTAAATGCGTTTTGTATAAAATTGACTTCAAAAGTAAGGAGCGTTTTCATCGAAAGGAAAATTTTTTAGTTTAAATTGTCACTAGTAGTGGACACCAATTTTGATTGTATCCGTGGTCAAATATTCTTTTTATACCACATCGATTGCAAGAATCGGAAAGCAAAGAAAATGCGCAACAAGTCTGCCACGTGCAACCAATTCAGGGTTCTGCGTGACAGAATTGTTGTGTTTTCCGTTTATGAAATGTGATTCGTCTGTTTATCATTATCCTGTCATACATGCGTTGGATCCTTTCTCAACACAGTTAGTTTCCAGCTTTTGAAATCTAATACCGAGGGAAACACAGTTATGTGACTTTGCCATGCTTTCCACATACGGCTGCCATCTGTATGTGGATGTCTGAAGCAGATATTCTGCTCCTCAAGAAATCATATTACCCATTGTTGCCCAAATTTGAATGTTTCCATACGTTTCCACTTTGACCACCGACTCACTTAGCACACTTGCACAAATTATGTGTTTCTATAGCACACAATTACATCTGTACAGATTATTCAATAAATGTCTGTCTATACACTAGAAAAATATTATCTTCTGGCACTTACGTGGCCCTGCATCAGCTGCATTGATGGGAAAGAGAGCCTTATCAATTATCATTGAACCAAACATTAATAAAAGAATATAAATTTTTCAAATAGATTATGAATGTGTATTTAAATAGTATATGATGTTGTGGTGAAATAAATTGTTTGTAAAGTACATTTCGTCTTATCGAGACAATTTTACTCAATTTAGAGATAATGCATTTTTTCGTCGATGTCCGTAACCACTTCTACTTCAACGGCTAAATCCAATTTCCCTAAGAATAGTTCGTTTATACAGAGAACAATTAATTCCGTGCCGCTCAGACAGTATAGTGGTTAGGAGAGCCTACTGCGGTATCGAAGGGCCCGAGTTTGAATCCCAGAGAAGGCATAGATGTTTGTAAATGTATGTTTTCGAGATATGGGAACACTCTAAATGTATAGCAAGCCGGAAGTTCTCCCGAGAAGTTGGGGGTAGGAGAAAAGGAGTGTGAGATCCTCGGACCCGTTTCCCAGGAGTTCTTTCGGTCATAATGGGGGCGAAACTGAGCAAAGTCGTACTATTACCTGTATGGTGCTCAAGGGTCTTGTCAACGACAGGCGCAGTCTTGCTGTCCTTGACACGATGAATTTCGTAGGCTTGTTGGGATGTTACTTTCAGACAAGTGAGATAAGTCACAACACAACAACAACAATTGGTTCTCTAAGTAACCATATATTTTACTGTGAAATTCAGGACTGATGGCTACTTTCATCTACGCGAATGTCCGTATCACAGTTTCGTAAGAAAGAAAAATGCAGTGAAGAGTTGAGTATTGTGTGTCTCTCCCAGTAAAATTGTTGCCATGATTACATACAAACTACAAGAATGATCCAAAAATGTTCATAGACATTCGAAGGAATACCATAAATGGAACTTTCATTTCTGTTTTGTTAAAAGTTCACCCCTCCCGATGACGTTTCTTGTAACTCTGACAATCTCACCTCAGGGGGTGTTAAACAGGTAAGCCGGGTTCCTACTTAACGTCTATCCGAGTGTCTTGCATGTCGGTTGAATCAGTTAGATGTCAGTTCCAACATGTTCCATATAGAATAGTTCGTGGTGTCTTAAATATTTAAAATAAAGTCCATCTACCTAATGGGTATGCCGCAAGGAACGATTTTAGGTTCCGTACGGAATATTTTTCAAGCTTACTCCTCTCACATAACGTGGGATTGAAAACAAAAGACGAGCCATACAGTGGGCTAATGACAGAATTTATAACGCGTATACAATTACGTACTTGCTTGTTGAAGATTGATATAGGGTCTGGGAAAAATTCGTGGCGTTTTGGGGGTAACATTCAATTGGTTTTCTTATAGCGTAATATAGAATTTTTTAAACCAAATATAATCCATTATTATTGACAATGTTTCGCTATCTTTTGAGTAGAGCCATGATGCCATTGGTGTAGAACTTCTATGGTTTCTGGTTGAAGAACTAAATTAAGTGTTTTTCACAGGTCTGCTTTGAAACCAGCTTAATTCCATCGAGAGAATTTTGCAAAGATCATAACAGGCGATAGTCCTATGGTACTATGTCTGGACTATATGGTGGTTTCATTATAACTTTCCAACCAAGCTCGCGCAATTTTTGAGGGGTAATCAAAAAAGTGTGTGGTCGGGCGTCGGACATGGAAGACAACACCTTTCGCATTATTCAAGTTCGTTTTCTTTCAATTGCCTGGCATAATCTCTCTAGTTGTTCACAGTAGAGTTGAGAATTTATCGTCTGACGTACTGGAAATAGCCTCTTTGTGGATTATTCCCTTCCGTCCCACCGTACATGCAGCAGCACCTTATTCGGCATCAATTTGGCTTCGCGACAGCTTGTGACGGCTTCTCAATTCTTTATCCACGATCTTTTACGCTTGCGATTATCGTACGTGATCCATTTTTCAACCCCAGTTATGAAACGTTTGAGAAAAGGCTCGAGTTCATTACGTTTCAGCAGCGCATTGCAGATGTTAATTCTGTCTAGCATGTTTTCCGCGCCCAACTCATGCGGAACCCAGACATCGAGCTTCTTTTTGTAGCCATCTTTGCGTAAATGGTTCAAAACAGTTTTGTAATCAATGCCCAGCTCTGTACTAATGTTGACACTGCTGGTGTGCTTATCTTGCTGGACTTTTGCAAGAATTTCATCAACTTCTTCAATGATTGGACGACCAAAGCGTGACTCATGTTCTACATCAAAAGTACCAGAACGAAAGCAAGCGAAGCATTTTCGCTGCACCACGTTCGGTGCTTATATACTATACTCACAGTGATGCTCGAAGGATCATATTTCTAACGAGTGCTTAGCTTTGTTGGTGCTATTTTTATTTCGTGAGTTTGTAGAGATATTGGGTTATTTTGAAGCATGTGACATGAAAAATGAGAAATGCACTCACCGGAACAGAGCTCTCGAATACGCGCTGAATGTTCTACCGTTACACCACAAAGGCATGCAGAAAGGAAGAAGAAATTATCTTATATACTCCCTTTTTTAAAGGGCGACCGGGGATTAGGGGACCCAATCGCCAATTCCCGGTGAAGAATCATCATCCACCATCTTTTAGTGCAGGGCCACTGTAGAATAATTAGGTTTTTTTTTCGAAGCAGGAGACGTGCAAAATGTGCAATGCCCTCGCCGGGACTCGAACCTGGGCCTCTCGAACATGCGCCGAGTGTGCTACCGTTACACCACCAAGGCAGGCAGAAAGAAAATACCTTATAAGTTATTTGCCATCGACGTCATCTATCGGGAAAAATGACGCGAACTTTTTCCCAGACTATGAAGCAAAGTATTTATGTACTCAGAAACATTTTTTGGAAACTGTGCAATGCTAAGAATATAACAGGCATGTCCGAACGCACGCAAACGGTTTACAACAAATAATTCAGGCGGTGGTGACACATCAGAACAAAATACTAAGAGTAGTAGAATAATGCTAATAATCTGATATTATGAATATAACGCATTCCTAATAATCCGAAATTATGAATCTTATTATAATACATTCCTAATAAACCAATATTATGACTCTTATAATAACAAAATGGACACTATTTGTAATATAAATTTTGCTTATAGTGTTTTTATTAATTTTAGGACTGTTTACCTTACTCGATAAAGGGAATACACATAGTGAATGAACCGAGCTTTTTCCAAACTTCCTATGGTGCCATAAAATTGGCTTTACCTGATAAGATAAGAAAAAGGGTGAGTATAGATTTGGATGTTCACATTAAAACAAAATATTTTTAACCAAAACATAGTTTCATTTCTAATACAGTAATTAGTGGAATAAAATTTTAATTTAACTAGCCTGTAGCTTCTGGTGACAAGAGAAAGGCACCTCTGTGCCCTAGAGCGTTTTGCAATTGAGCCCAGCATGCGAATTAATTCTTTCGAATGCGCGTCTTAAGTATTGCGTGCTTTGCTTTTGTGGAATAATTAGGTTTCATGGCATTCTTACATAATTCATACATATCGAATACTTCAAGTAAAATATTCGATATGTTGAACGTTTCGAAACAGAGATGTTCCATTCCCTTGCGAATTGATTCCAAGAACTGAATTCGTCACCTTGCAATGAGTCACGTATTTGGACAAACGAAAGATCAGCAAGCCGCTGAAAATTAATTTGTCCTTATTCTTGCAAAATAAATAAATAAATAAATAATAAAAAATAAATAAAAATTTAAAAAAATAAATCTGAACATTTTCAGATTTTATATTACGCCCAAAGGGACTTTTTTAACGTTTTGTGCGTTAACTGTATTTATTAAGTATCATGTTCTCCGCACTTAAACCATAAAATTCAATTCAATAGCAATATCGCAAAATAATTTTAAAATGAGCATATCTATAGAATTTCCGATACACTGTCTCACGCGCCGGAGATAAAAATGTTTTTTTTTTTTTTTTTTTTTTTCTGTACAACGTTGCCATTTCACACTTTGAAATCATTGAGGTTGTTAATCAAAAATTCGTTAATGTGTTACAAAATATGAAATCGATAACAAAACTAAATTTCAAATTCCAAATTCGGGCTTCCACATACCCATATACGGTGGAATATTACGTTATTCAAAATTGGATGACTCTAAGTACCGTTATTTTATGACAATGCGAGAAACATACATACATTTATGCAGATTCTTTATTATTTAATTTCTTTAAATAGTATAACACAGGGCGATAATATTTGCTGGTAACAATTTGAAAAGTGAACCACCATTTATAGTGAATCAACGCAAAATGCCAAAGCGAAATTAATAGCCCTTCTGGAGTTAAAAAAAAACTGTAGAGGCTGATGGGTGACTTCAGAAATTGCTGTGGAACCAACCATATAGTACAAAATGTTTTTCTATAAAATTCTAAAGCTTTAAATTTTTAAATCTTTTCCCAAAAAAATATTTATATAGAAATGCTTCTTTGCAAAATTGCAAGCAATTCTTTGCAAAAATTAAATTAAAATGTTTCTTATTTTTTTTAAATTTAATTTTATAACATTTTTAAAATTATAAAATCTTACAGAACAATATAGAAACCTACAAAGTTTTCAATCTGTAATCAAAACAATTATTTAGTTTTTGATGTATAATATAGCATAGAGAAGAGAAAAATAATAATTAAATAGTAAAAATTGTTGAATCATTTCTTAACGTAAATTTTTACATTTTCCTTTTATTCAAAGTTTTAGCTTCTAAATTCTTGTAAACTTTTGCGCAATTTTTTTTTTTTTTTTTTTTTTTGTGTGTGTGTGTGTGTGTGTGTGTACAGTACTGTTTATATAACAGAAAACTGAATTTTGTAAAAGTGTGAAAACAGTCTGAATCATGAAATTTGTTAAATTCGTGCTCTATAAAATTCATCCACGTTTAAAAGTTCCATTTGAGATAAAATCTTTTCTTATATCTTTTAAAAGTGGGCAAGTCTCCACGAGTGTATCTCCAGTTCATTGCAGCTGCCGCAAAGGTCGGAGTTTTAAAGATAAAGTCTTCAAAAAAAAAAAAAAAAAAAAAAAAAAAAAAAACGGAATTTTGATTTAAATCTACGCCACCATACGTTTGTTCTTTTCTTATCATTATAGTCCCATATTATAGTTTTTATTTTTTATCAGATCTTTCACGTTTTTCTATTCGTGTTTCATAATTTGTAGGTATAATTCTTCATAAGAGTCACGACCTTCCTCTTCGACCCCTGCAACTCAATGATTTCCATGTCATTTTGTGTAATAGCCTTTTTGGCCAATGCGTCCGCTCTTTCATTTCCAGTAAAACCCCCATGTGACCTTACCCAGCTCAAATTAACTATATTCCTCCAGCCCCCCCCCCGGAATTCAAATTAAAGTTATTTCACGTCTAGTGTCAGTTCATTTGTTTCAGCAGGGCAAGAGAGTGCCTGTAAAGTTGATAAGCTTTCAGTATATATATATATATTATATATATATGTCATAATAAAAGCAAAGGAAATAACGGAGCAGTGTAGATGCGTGATTAGATCCATATTGAAGAAGAATTTTGATTGCGTAGTATTTAAAGAACTTGGCAGTCGAGGCAGTTTTAATTCCATTTTTATTTCCAAATGACATATGTGGCCACGATCATTTGGCCCCTAGTCGTGCCTGTTCAGACCATTACATTATTGATATTATTGGCAATAGGAAGCAGCATAGGGAAATTGCGCCCAAGGGCAGCACAGACAAAGCTGAGGCGTAGTTTGAAAAGATGGAAGTACGTGAAGAGAAAAAGCTTTGGTTACAGGTCAGTTTCAGTTCTTAATTATTACGTCATCAGAGTTGCGCGGCCCATAGAGTGATCTAGAAATGACGCAATGCAGAGAAGTTATTACGATTTTAGAATAAAGAGGAAGAATTAATGTTTTTAGTTATTCTGGTTCATATAATTTTACCTTACATATATATATATATATGAGATCTCGAATTTTAGGAATCTTTTTATGTACTTTGAAGCAAAATAAATATACTGAAATACAGAATTATGTTAATTTAACTTATCTTTCTCACAGTCTATCTCAGTTCCATGATAAAAAACTACAAAGGTGATGTTCTCTCCCACACCGGACCCATCAGTAAGACCATCATTTTCATCTACCAGGGGAAAATTTCTGTAATACATAATAGATCTGCTCTGTGCAGGGTTCCATTAATATCAAATATTTTAAATCTTTCTATAATAGATAATATAATACATAATAGAAGACTTCTTAGAACGCATAATATAGTATATCACAGAATACATAATATAATACGCCTTAGAAATCTTTCTATAATACATAATTTCTATAATATATAATATAATACATAATTTCTATAATACTTAATATAATACATACTAGAAGACTTCAAAGAACACATAATATAATACATAATTTCTGTAATACATAATTTCTAGAATACAAAATAATTTTTGTAATACATTATACATAATTTCTATAATACATAACATCTCTTCTCTGTTTATGGTTTCATGACAATATCTTTGAAATCTTTCCATAATCTCTACATAGAATAGAAGAAAGAGTTTGTCTGTGTGTGTGTCTTTCGTTCTCGCTGCGCGTAAGCTAATAGACCCACGGCTACGAAATTTGGTACATATGTGCATCTAAACAAGAGCCAGTGCACCTCGAAGCGATTTTTTCGAAATTCGAATTCGAATTTTTTTATTTTATGTTTTGTGACGAAATCCTGTCATTTTGAGACATAATGGGCTATAGCAAAGCGAGATTTCACTCTACACACTCCATTTTCACATCGTCATGAAACGTAGGCACTTAGCTATTTTACGAACTTAAAATAAATTTCATGTTTCAAAAAATCGATTAAATACGAATTTATTTAACAAAGTGAGCTTCAAAAACATGGATAACATGTTACACACATACACACACACACACACACACACAAAAAAAAAAAAAAAAAAAGTTAATCTAGAAGAAAAATAATAAAACTTTCCGTTCGTAAATGATTCGACACTTATGAATAAAAAATATCTATTTTTACCCTTCTATGCCCCATAGTACATCAGAAATTAAACATTTGCTTTGATTATAGTTTGAAAACTTTGCGGATGTCTTATAGCAGGGCTTCTTAACCGGTGGTACGCAAGAGAAAAAAGGTGGTACGCAAAGTATTTTTAACTATTTAATTCAAAAATTAAAACTCCAACATCCTGGCTGCGTTTTTTAAGCCGCTGTCTTATAGGATACCATTCTATAAACGCCATATAAAACTTTATATGATTTTTCAAAGTAAAACATTTCTACAGAATTCTCTTCTGCGAAATATTTATAAAATTTCTATAGAACTTTATAGAGAAGTATTTATATAGAATATGTCATGTAATGTTATATAGAAATATCTGTTGAGCGTTATCAGATTCTATAACAAATTTACCATGCTTCAAAGGCTTTATGAAATTTCTATATAATTTTATTGTGAAGTCTTTCTATAGAATATTTCATGTATATTATAGGAATTTCTACAGAAAGCTATCAGGCTCTTTAAAAGTTTTCTAAAAAGTTTTTCTCGTATAGTAAATATATCAAAACAATCATTTTAAATTTCTGTATACCCTAAAATATTAAAATCGAAACGAACATATGTACATGATTTGTCCCAATGCTGTTTTAACTCGGATTATGTAAATCTTTTCACAGGTATTTCTCCACGGGAGCAATTTACAAGGACTTCATAAATACGTTACTCCGGAAGTTCTCCCAGAAGAACTTGGAGGAAATCTAGGTCCTGTGGACAACACAGAATTTTTGAAGTTTGCCCTCAAGCAAGAATCCCTTTTCAAAGACATGATTAAATGTGGATTTAAAAAGACGACTTCGACAAAGTCTGGGTGATAAAAACATGCAATAAATTATATAGCTAAATTTGATTTAGCCATGTGTTACAGATAATGTGAACTAAGCAATGTAATACAAATAGTTTTTAACCCAAATATGAGAACATAATTCACGAAGATTAGCCAAAAAATGAAGCGTTTTAAAATTATAAGGAGTTTTCCAAGTTTATAAAGGTTTTTCTACTAATTAGAGTTGAATCAAATACATCAAAAGCTGTAGAATTCACCAATATTTTGCAACATTACTGCAAATTTGCTTATCGAAAATAGGTACGAAGATGTCAATGTAATTTTTCAATCCTTTCTCTGACCTCAGAATTTCGATGACTGAGTGTTCAGCATTTGGCAGTACAAAGAATATCCGCAATGTCTCTTTTACAAAATAAACTGTAATATGAATTTTTTATTTTTAACTTCTTTCACATATTCTCTCATTTTACACATTTAACAGATAAATTTATTTTACAAACTTAATAATAAATCCCTTAGCAAAATGTTTTATATAATTATATAAAAGAACAATTAAACTTCTTTGCAGTTCTTTTAAATTATGGCCCAATTTCCTATAAACTAGGCCGGAAATCTTTTCTAGAATTCTGTAAGATTCTATACACAACTTCTTTACAATTCTATACACATCATCATCATTCATAGCGCGACAACCCAGGATGAGCATTGCACTTCTGAAATAAACGTTTCCAGCCACTTCTACTAGCAACGAAACTTCTGCAGTTATTAGTTTTAAAGACTAAACAATCCTCCTCTACAGCATCTATCCCATCGAAGTCTGGGTCTTCCTGTTCTTCGTGTCTTACTTGGTCTAGTCGACCCCCAGGGGGTCGACGCACAGAACTCTGTGAAGCTACTGGCTAGGATCTGTACCTAGGCAGTATCGCTATGGGGGTATAAAACTCATGAGCTTGGTTGTTCCAGAACCCCAAAGAATGGTCGTCTATACGACTGGACCGTGCATGGAGGTAGGAAGTAAGATGGAGTAGCCCTAAACAGGTTTCTCCCGTACCCTGCTCTGAAGCACTGGCGATCCTTTCGTAGTGACCAAAACATAGGGTCGTTTACCATTAACTTCAATGGGTTTTGACGCGATCGGATGTAAATATTTTGTAATTACGTCGTAAAAATACATATAAATGTATATATTTTCTTTTTCTACAACACTTCAGAGTCTATATGAAAACAACATATTTTTAAACAACATTTCATTCTGAACGGAATTAAATGCTATACTTTTCGTAGAACAGTTTTCTCAGAATGGTTTAATTTGAATGAAATATTTTCACAAGTTTTCGTTAATTACATTAGGAAACAATTTAAGGTAATTCGATTTTATTCGGTTAAGGTACAAAAATTAAGATCAAAGTTTATTGTATTATTAATATTAAAATCATGCATTATTTCTTTTCTATTTATAGAGCTTCTTCCTAAAATACTTTCTTAAATATGACATGATTTTTTGGCTTCTGAGGCATCTTTTAAATCGAAAAATCAAGTTGAAAATCGTTTTAAATCGAAAGTCAATTTATAATTAATGCTCTATTCGTTTCATTTTAAATTAGATATTTATTATTAGAAATTAGCGAAATACTTTAAATAGTACTTAAATGTTCAGAGAACAACATTTCTGAAAGGAAATAAAATAAGGATTTTTTTAAGTATTATTTAAAATTTGTAACTGAGTTATTATAAAATGTAAGGGGAATAATTCTTTTAATTATACTTATCAGATTTTTTTACCATTAATTTCAATAATATATATTCCAAAACTCTTTGTTACTTTCTTAAGTGCGCATCTCATAGCATTTGCTTTACAATGCCTTTTAACAGATTGCTTTCCAGTACGAACAATTCTTGCTTAAATAGTTTTATAACGTATTTGTCAACATGATTTCAATTTATGTTTACAATTCAATATTAAGGATAATATTTATAATCATTATAAATTAGATACATTTAATAATTAGATTTCTTCACAGTTGTTTATAAATGAATAAATTCTTCATTTCAAATACATTTATAAATAATTTAATGAATATTTATGTATTTTGTTAAAGGCAGATAGATACATGCTTTTTGCAAGCACATGCATAAATACCCATACATATTTCATATTTTTTCATTTCCGGCATGTGCAAATCTTTAATTTCTGTGCATTCACTATATTTTATTTTTAATTACCCCAAATAAGTAAAACGTGCAAACCCAAAGGGATTATGTTTCAGAAGTTATATAAAAATAAAATGAATGAAGTTTAAAATGAACAACAGTATAAAGCTTCTCCTCTAAAAACTTTAAAAGGTACAGTATGTATCACAATAACATGTGGATGTGAAAGAAAATTATTTTATTTAAAACATTTTGGCGTTTCGAAACATAAAACAAAAGTAGCGAAGACTCTATCAAGGGTATCGAAAGACATATACCAATTTCAAAGGTACCGTAAGGTATTTCTCATCCTTTAAGCATATAACGTTTTTGCTAAAATCTATATTTTTGTAGTTCAACAGCTTAGAATTTATAAAACAATTCATAATCAAAATCGCTGTTGTTAGTTATCGAAAAATAGCCAAGATGTGATTTTTGCGTAAATGGGCACAATTGTCTAAAAGGAAACAAACATGTATAAAAAGAAAATTTATTTTGAAACTATATGAAATCTTACAAGGAAAAAATTAAACATTTCTTAATTACTTTAACCAAAATTGTTACAGTTCAATCTTTGTCTATTCATTTAAAAATGAAATCCATTCTTCTTGTTTTAATTTGCGCGAAAACATCAATAATTTTCTCCTTGATCTCTGGATGACAACTGAGGAATTTCTTTTTTATTGAAAGCAATGCAAGCGCATTTAGTCTTTCCAAATTCCTAGTGCTTCTTAGTTAATGTTGAAAAGCAGCGTTCTGCTTCTGATGTAGTCATGGGAACTCTCAAGAGAATTTTTATCTGTTTCGTAATTTCACTAAGAACATATCTAGATTATTTTCGAAGATAAATTTCAGTAGCTCAATTAATTTGCAGTATTCATGGATGTCAGACCTACAATAGAATACTTTTAGTTCCTTTTCAAGCTTTTCTTTGTCAATCATTGGATATGCTTCAGTGGTCAGTACTATTTCTTCTGTAGAATGTTCATTCCTAAAACTAGCATAGCATTTCTTGTTTAATAATTTAGCAGCTGCTAAGTGTTTAGTGGAAGAATATCTGTGCATTATATCAATACATAGTTATCAAGTCACGTATTTCCTTAGCTTCTGCCATCATGGGGAAAACCACGAAAACACCAATGCAGCCAGCCCGTTCGCGGGATTCGAACCTCGGACCGAATTACCAGTGTTCAGCGACTTTACCGCTCGGCCGCTGGTGAGTCCCCGCACTGATAAGGAGCTTGTACAGTAATAGCTCTGTTTTTTAAGATAAAAAGGAAAATCTCTAAACACGACTGTCTTTAAATTGGGGCTGTCCAACTTCAAGTGGCCCGAAGGCCACTTTAAAAAGAAATTTGGTTTGGAAGGCTGCATTATAAAATACTTCGTACGCAACTTTATCAGTGACTTTTCATAGATATGATATTTTTAAAAAAAAATCGTGTTCGTATTATTATTTTTGTTTATTCAAAAAATATCAAATTACAAAAAAGTTGGTGGAAAATTTGAGGATGTTCGTTTTCATTAACTAATGCATCAATATTAACTTCAATGTTTGTTGTTGATAAATGAAGCAACTGAGTAAGTGACTTATCAGAGAGGGAACATCTATATTTTGACTTTATAAATTTCATGTTGGAAAAGCTGCTTTCGCAAAGATACGTGCTTCCTAGCACTGAGGCACAGTGTAAGCCCTACGTTTCGCATATTCGGGTATCGTTCTCCTGGGAGCAACTTGAAAAAGTCCAATCTAGTTTCAGTTCTTCCTTGGTAAAAAGGATCTGATTGAAAATCACAGAATTCCAGATGAAGATCTGCGATGCTTATGTTCTCAACAGAAATTGCCAGGGCCTGAGTAAAAACTGAAATCTCTCTTTCGATTTTTTTAACGTCTCTCAATCGATTTCCGAATTCTTCTGAAATTATGTCAATTTATTTTATGTGAGATTAATATGAAACTTCCTCAAAATCCTTCATTTCTTCAAAATACAATTTACAACTTGGAAAACATGAAAAAATCCTTTTTTTCTAACGTATACTTGAAAAGCTTTATTTTATTCTTAAACACATTTATGTATCCAAATAAATTGCCAATATTCTGCTGTTTTCCTTGTAGCTTCAAATTCAGTTCGATAAGGTGAGATGTCAGGTCTGTTAAAAATTGTGCATCTGCCATTTGATTTTCCAGTTCCAGAGTGTCGGACTTCATTTCATCTTTAAGGAAAACAGAAATCTCCTCGAGTAGAGCGAGGAATAGTTGCAACACTTTCCAACGAATATCGCTGTGAAGTAACAAGTCTTTTTATGTAGCATTACTTCAGCCAAAAAATCACGAAACTTTCTGTGAGTCAAAGCACGAATGTCCCTCTAATAATATTAGTTATTTTAACAACCACTTTCATGACATTCGTTGACGTAAAGATTTTCCAAATAAAGCCTCTTGGTAAACAATACAGTGTATCACAGGACAGTTGATGTTGATTTGCTTCAAGAGTCCTGCAAATCCATCATAGCTTCTGGCTCCATCAGTGACAATACAGGAACATTTATCCGAATCCCCCGTATTTACAGCTTCAAAAATATCCATACACTTGGTTGCACCATGGAGAGGAATAAGATCAAGCATCTCTTCTGTTACACTGAAGTCGTTTTGAATGGTTTCGGATAAAAATCAGACGCTGGCTAATATCTGACAGATTAGTGCTTTCATCCAGGCATAGAGAACAATATTTACATTTTTCAACCGTGTCACGCAACTTTTGGGATACATATCGATTAAGATGGTCCATCCGTCTTGCAATTATTTGATGCGACACTGAGACTGCTTCGAATTTTTCGGCAGTTTTGTTTTCAGTGAATTGTTTCGCCATTTTGATAGCACAAAGCACTCCATCACTAAAAGGTTTCTTCGCTTTGACAATTTTCAGCGTTATTTCGTACGAAGCAGCAACACTACATTTGTTATCAGTGTCAGATTTTTTGAAAACATTTGTTTGTTGTTTTAGATTTTTCTTATAATTCCGTAATAATAGCCTTTCTTGGCTCCCCTGTATATTGCAGAAACGTTTTCTCGTGCAAAGTAGTATAATGTTTTTCATATTATGTTCTTTGGGAATCGATAGCAATGAAGTTTATTGTTGTCGTTTGTGATTAAATAGTCCGATTCCCAAAGGTCATAATAAACTTGATGTTCGTTAGTTGTTTTTCTTTTCTGCAAAGACATATTTCACAAAGTATTTCACTT